AGATGAATACTCACCTGATTCTCAACTTTTCTCTTCTGTGCATCTAGCAATCTTGTCTCATGCTCCTTCCTTCTTTCATACATCCGTTGACGGACATGAAAATGTTCCCACAAGATATCACTTACAGTAGCATAATTCTTGAGGTGACCCAAGGGGTCGAACAAAACCTAAAACAGCTTACAATTTTGAATTCTCATTTTTTTCGTTTAGAGCAAGCATTACCATAGAGTTCGTTGTTATCTTCGTGCAGAGTTTAAATTTCTTCATGAGCTCAGAGTACCGTCCAGCAGGTCTTCTACATCGTGTTGTAAAATCTCTGCTTAGTTCGACGAGGAATCGCACATTTCTTTCCGTATGATATTCCTTATAGTTGCTGAAAGCACTCGAATTTGCTTTCTTAAAAAATGAAAATAATAACAAAAAATCTTCTTACAAATGATCTGCTTAGAAATTATGGAAAGTTTCAGAGAAAATTTCACATTGTTTGTTTGTTTCCTTGTTTTCTCGATCTTCGACTGAATTCCATCATTTTACCTTATGTATCCGTTCTTCTGCAATGCTTGTAAAGTATTCTGTTTGTACCTATTCGTCCATTCTCCCACAGGCAATTCTGTGATTTCAATCCTAAAATCAAAAATTTGCACTACTCATCATTTTATACTCCAGCATACTTCTGGTAATGGATCAATAAATTTTTTGCCAACAAGGAACTGGAGAGGAGGGAGGATAGAAAAATTTGCAACCCGGGATGATTCATTTTCCAAAAACTTCTTCGGAAAAACGTTTCTTGCACTTGCATAGAAATTTCTTGTATCCAGATCTTGGAGAAAAAATATTTCAGCCTTACCTCCTCGACTTTAGCGCATATTTTGCCAATTTTTATAATACAGCATATAATATAGCACTGAAACCATGGATCCGCTTACCTCAAATTTGGCGCATTCTTCCGCTGCGAAGGAACAATCCTATATTTTCCGCTTATCTCGTAGCTATTCTCTGCTATCTCCTCGATTTTCCCGGAAAAGTCCGAGAACGATGGGGCCTGAGATAGACATAAATTTTTTTCAAACGACTTAGTCCTTCTGATTACCATTTTCTCCACTTCACTTCCATCAATCATTCTTTGCACATTATCCACTACATCATTGATGTTATGGCTAAGTATGAGCGTTGACCATCCTGTACCCACACCTTCAGCGCCATTTACAAGAACCATAGGGATAATAGGACAGTACCTGAAGGAGGGAGAAATCAAGCGCATTTGGTACCGAAAACAAGAAGAATTACCATTCAGGTTCAATCTGTTGATTTTCTTCTTGTAAATAATTAAGGAGTTCATCATCGGCAGCTGGGAATATTTGACGAGTTATGAGACTAAAAAATTTATTCAAGCATGTTGCTTTAAACCATTTAAAAACTCAGAGGTCTATTTTCCCGGAAAATTCCCCCATGTTTTTTCCCACCTATTCATCTAATAAAGTAATTATCATCATAAAAACAATTTTTCTGAACAAACATGAATAAGAAAATAATTTTCTATGCATTATTATTCAGTAAAACGAATGTGCCCTTGCAGTACCAACAACATATGCGCGTAAAAAATGCGCAATGGCACATTCACAGTCCAGCGCTTCGCGTCTTCAGCGTTTCACGGTCTTATCACGCGCAAAATTGTCAGCAACGCAAAAACACTAAGCGGTAAATCTGCCAGACGAACCTTAACTTTGTATAAATATATCTAGCACTAGCTGCATCATTCCCTCCTTCATGCCGAGTGCCAAATTGTCCCACTGGCTCCAAAAGGCATACGTTGTTCATCCCCACAAAGTCTTGAGCCAATCTCACTATGGTCGTCACCAGAGCATTCTGAAACCATAAAGGTTACACTCATCCCTACAAAGAAAGGCTTGAACCCTTCCACTCTCACCTCTCCATGATGATATGCTTCATTCAAAGCAACGGCGGCAGC